GCTCCATGCACTAGAGGGTGCTAGTTTCCCTGCTGCCGGCCAGAAAAATCGTTTCCACCGTTTCCAACAGGCGGCCTGGGACCAACCCCCGCACGCTGTGCCTGCCGTGAGCCAACCGGGCAATCCCTAGCCATATGGCCTACTTGCTCACAGCGCAGACAAATAGGTCTGCCATCCACATCAAAACGAAAACGCCTCTGATAATTGGTCTGCCTATTAGGTGGGTTAAGTGACCCTGAGCCAGGAGACAAATGTTTAAGAATGGCATCTAATTGGGCCTGCTGCCTACGCAAACAATCCTTGAGCTCGGTCAATTCATTACTTGGTTGTGCTACCACGGCCTGGGCTTCTGCCTGCCATGGCCCCACCGCTCTTGGACTGGCATCACACGAAAAAGCCCTTGCTCGAACCGGGCGAGGCCCCTCACCATCATCAGCCCAACGAAATGCCTCCCGACGCAAGTCTAAAAAGGAGGAATCAGGATTTAAGCGGATGTATCGTTTTAATTCTCTACGCAACATTTTGTCTCTAACGTTTTCTGCAAACTGATCACGAAGAACAAAGTCGGGTTTAGCAATTGCAGTTGTATTTTTACGCAATACGACTTCCATAAGCGACATTAACAAATGTGAAAACTCACGCAACGTTTCTCCCTCCCGTTGACGACATTGGAAGAATTTTTGTTGGGCGTCAATATAAGACTGGCTACAGCCAAATGTCTCGGTCAGTATAGAGAAAATATTTTCAGGCTCAGATCTAACTGAAGCTGGCTGGAGTTTGATTTCTAGTTTTGCCTCCCCATCCAGAAGATCATAAACGAAATACGCCTGCTCACCTATGGACATCTGCCTAACCTGTAGACATCGACGGACCTCCTCAATCCATTCCTCCACTGAAGGGGACTCTGAACTACCCGAGAACCGGGGATATTTACGTTCTCTAGGAACATACACATACCTCAATCCAGAAGACCCTGGTTCCTGAACGTTTGGCTCTTGGGGAGTTAACACTCGCTGACTCTGCTCTCCCTGTTCTACAGCCACAGCAGATGCTACATTTCCCTGACGTAGCCTTGCATTATCACTCTGTAACTGGTTAATCTGCTCCATTAGCTGCCCGACCCGCTCCTCCAGCTCCTGAGACATTTCAAAAAAAAAGGGAGGGAAAAGAAAAGGATTTCTTTTTTTTTTTCTTTTTTTTTTTTTTGTATGTATATTTTTTTTTTATATACAAACCACTTGTCACTTGCAGAACAACTTTACACACCCAATCCTCGACCACTGCTTCCCCTGTACTCCACCTGCACTCAAAACACACATGCACACAACAAAGAACAAACCAAAAAAAAACAATAATAATTACACCAGTCCCACTCTCCTACCCTGCCGACTTACGCCAAATGTAACCTCAGGGGAGGTCTATTGTAACCAAATAATCATGGCTAAGCGACCGTAAGAATTTCAAATGTTTACCAGCAGGCTATCCCAATAAAGGGAAATACAAAGAGAGAGAGAGAGAGAGACTGGAGTATTATAAAAATAGAAAATTTATTTATTTCCCCTTTTCTTTGGCTCAATGGACTCACAACATGAAACAGTATTCAAAGGACATTAGGCCTCTGGGCAACAGAGTCAGGGACAACAAAATCCAAAATCAAAGTGTTCAAATAACTCAAAAACAAAATACAACAAACTCAAAATTGATAAGGCACGTCACAAAATCACATGCACAAATATAACCAAAAAGAAAATAATTCACACTAGACAAACCAGTGGCCACACAACAAAATTGTTATCCCCCCCTACCCAGGATATTGCACCAACCCAATGGCCTAAAATACACACATTACATAACACACAACATACATCAACACACCAGGGGGAGGCTCATAGACAACCCAATACACGGTTCTTCCCCACGTACACGTACACGTACACGTACACACACACACACACACACACACACACACACTCGGAGCTGAATCCTAAAAACAAGAGCACAGGAAAAACAGTGGCCAGGACAGCATATGTCGCTCCTCCTGCAAAGAACAATTACAATGTTACATAATTATACAGGTCGGCATCACAACTATGCCTAATTTGTAACCTGTACACCAATGGGCTGGGAATTACTTAAGATGTAAAAAGTTAAGCTGAACAATCAGAGCGGGGCAAGAGGCTAAAGTAGCCTAAAACACTAACCTGTATGAACAGACCACAGCATCAAGCCAAAAGCTTGGTTATTTATAATACTGTAGCAGTCACTTTACTCCGTCTGGTTTTTACTTGAACATTCCCAAACCAAACTATAATAAAGAAACATTGCAAATCAACAGAACTACATACATAAACGTTCCATGAAGATGTACAAACGTGAGGGAGAAAGGAAGCCAATAAACTTACGTTCTCAGCACAACAAACGCACTCGGCAAACTTGTAGTTATCACTCTAAACCCGGAACTAATGAACAAAACATTAAATCAATAAAAGCTCATTACAGCAAGTACCTAAAAAACAGAGAGACAAACGCTGCTCAATAAAAACAAGAGACTTACGTCCTCGTTGAAGCACGCCAACACAAATCGCAGCCGATGAGGGCTCGCAAAGACAGGACACTAGCAGCACCCACGGCACTGGGTAATCGCACAAACACCAGATGAGGCTATGAAACAATGTAATCGTCTGAATCAAAATCACATATGCCAACGAGGTTTGATCTCACAATACATTTAAACATGAACTCACGTCAACTCGGACACTCAGCCAAGAGCCCAAGGAAGCAACAGTCTGTGACAGCACAAAATCAGAAAAACGCCAGCTTGCTGGATTTAAAGGTGTAGCGCCAAACAACCCCCACCTGATTCAATCAAGCGCAATTCTCATGGAACACACCCCACTCGCTACACTTAGAAGCAGAGTTGTATAAAGTAGAAGTAGAAGTAGAAAAAAAGTAGAAGTCCTGCCATTTGTTTATTTCAGCCATGAACGGATTGACAGTTGATTTCAGCTGATTTCTGTCTCCTGACTGAAAAACTGCTATTAAGCAAATCCAGGTGATTGGAACAAAATACTGAGGCGGACTTTTACTTTCTGAACCTGGACTTTACTCCTCTGAAGAGAACAGAAAAAGAGACGACAGTCTTAGATGAAATCACCTGAAGAGAAGACATTAAATTTGAAGATCTCAGCAGAGGAGGATTAAACAACTCCACAAACAACATTACCAGCTTCACTTATTACTAACCAGACTGACGTTATTTCTGTCAGACTTCTACAGAAGATTTTATTGAGAATTAACTCTAGGTTTAACTCTGTGTTTCATTTGAAGTCACCATAACAGTGATTAGTGTTTCCATTAGCCAGACTCTTTACTCTTATTATATATGTAATTTCTTCTGACTGCTATGTCAGTGTGTTTGTCAAACACATTTACAGTAGCAAAGTTGAATGGGATCAGGTGATGAAGATTACCTGGTGATGGTTTTATAATCATCATGATAAAGCCTGATTCACAGTGATGTTAGAATTTAATAATTATTTTGACAAAATATTTTCAAAAAAACAAAACCTGTAAATAGGGCTGGGCGATGTATCGCACGATATTGTTATGCGAGATCAAGTTAGATCAAATCACTATCAGATGCATTTGTTTAGAAACACAGACATCAATAATCAGCATGTGAATCTCAACCGTGGTGACCACATAATCCTTGTTGCCACCAATCACAACTCATTAATGGCTCCCATCATGCATTGTATTAGATCTTCTAATTGTAGTTTGTTACGTAGTTTTAATTAATTGTTATGGGTAGGTTTAGGGGTAGGAGTGGGATTGGTGGCTCAAAATATATTTTAATGCTATATTGTTGTTAATAAAACTGCCATTTCCCAACACATCTGTCCATTATGTTTTATGATTTTTTATATTATGTATAAAATGGGTATGTTTAGGTTTGGGATTAGGGTTACGGGATCTTACATTTATCTATAAAATGGTAAAAAGGGAAATTATACAGATATCTTTATGATATGGAATATACGTAAATAGTTAACCTTTTGTAGCTGTAAAAACGTAATAATGTTACGTTTAAATGTTGCAGATACGTCTATATTATACCTTTCAGCATCTATCCAAATGTACTAAAAAGTACGTTTTCTATCATTGCAAAAACGTAAAATACCTAAGTATTAACAATGAGACCAGGCTGAACGTCTACATATGGATGTATTGCAATATGTAACTGTGTTGTGTTAAAAGTGAAAGCCGACTATTTTTCTTGTTAAAACAAGCACACTGACAACGGTCTAATCTTACCACTAAAAATCTGTATTTATAATATGATACGTTTAGAAAAGCATCAGAAAAGCAGCTAAATGACCATTGATGAAACTCAAGAACAATAATACTGCAGACGTGTAACGTTACTTCAAAACAAAAACAAAGAAAGACAAAGGTACTGCTAAACCATGACCACCATGTGTTTTAAGAAAGTAAAGTACTTTATTTTTATTAACGATATTTACAGCTTATCGAAATGCTCTGTTCGTCGTCTCCAACGATAGAAGGAATTGACCCCTTATTCAGACGAAGCCGATCGGCAAACCCGTCTTTATACTAGGGGAGGTTGTTGAAGTTGAAATCCTTGTGCTACAAAGTGCTACACGCTCATAACAAAATGACTTCACCCACAGACGTGGGTACATTTGCTTGATAAATAAAATTCAACCAGGCACTTCGAAGAGGTTCTGATGCTGGGAGACGGTGTAATGACGCGTGTGGATCACTACATCCAACAACCGAACATTTTGACTTGCCCTCTCGTAACTTCTGCATCATTGAGCTCGGACTACAAAATCGGAGCGAGAAATAATAATGGCGGTCGGATTGCTCGAAGTGTTGGGCCAGTAGTCAATGTCCTTTATTTGTCAGTTCCGCTGCAAATATGGTGACGTACTTGTTCAAAAACGTCATAGAGAACAGAAAAATCTGAAATATGACCAAAACAGAATATAAAGATATAAACGAAGCACCTGAAGAGAATAATTTCATCTTTTCTGTACTCCATTGAACAAAAAATCTATCAACGTTAGCTGAGTCCATCCCTTCCCAAAATGCAAGACCAATTTAATCAAATTACATACAAATATATATATTTTAAGCTTGTAATATGTTGTTTAAAATTGAAATTAATTTGTACTATATATCAATTTTTTGCTTTTAAAAATTATCACATAACAACACAACTTTTCTTTTTCAGTTTCTCAATTTCTTGTAGCAGCTCATGTCTTTCTATTTCTTTCTTGATTTTTAGTTCTCTTTTTTCTTTTTCTTTCTCTTCTTGCAGGTGTTTATAGAGTTTTTCCAGTAGCTCATGTTTTATCTGATTTTCTTCCAGCTTCTCTTTGAGTTCATCTTTTCTTTCTCTGAAATCATTCAGTTCTTCTGCTTGTTTTCTGGCTTCATCTTCATGTTTCTTCTTCATGTCTTTTATTTCCTCTTCATGTTGCCGTTTCATTTCATCTCTCTCCTTCTCTTCTCTTTCTTGTCTGTTTTTCTCCTCTGTTTCTCTTCTTCTTTTCTCTTTTTCTTGCTCTTGTTTCAGATCTTCAATCATTTTCTCCCATCTCTTTCTCTCTTCTTCTCGTCTCTCATCATCCGCTTGTTTTCTTCTCTCCCACTCCTCTTTTCTCTCTCGTTCCAGTCGTTCATTGTTCTTTTTCATTTCATGTTTCTTTTCCTCATATTTTCTCTCTTTTTCTTCTCTTTCTCTTCTCTGTTTCTGTCTCTCCTCTTCTATCTTCTGTCTTTCTACTTCTGTCTCTCTTTTAAACATCTTTATCATTTTCTCCAGTTCTTCTCGTTTTTCTCTGAGTTGTTCTTCATGTCTCTCCTTCCTCTTTCTTTCTTCTTCCTCTCGTTCTCTCATCTGTTGTTTCATTTTATCCTCCCATTCTCTCTGCTGTCGTTTAATATCCTCTTGAATATCTTTTCTGTCATTTTCAGCCTCTTTTATTCTTCTTTTCCATCTCTGTCTCTCCTCTTCTTCATCTTTATTCCTCATTTTCTCCTCAGATTCTCTCTTCTTTATTTCTTCTTCTTGTTTCATCTGTAATTCTGCTAAAATGCGTTTTTGTTCATTCTTCATCTTTTCTTGTTCTTGCTTGTATTTCTCTTCTCTCTTTCTATCTTCTTCTTCTTTTTCTTTTAGCTGTTTTTCATACTCTAATCTCTGATTTTCAATCTCTCTCTTCATCTCTTCTATTTTTCGATGATATTCGGCTCTTCGCTGTTTTTCCTCTTCTGATTGTTTCTGGTTTTCAATCTCTCGAATTTTCTGTTCTGATTTCTCTCTTTCTTCAAAATCTTTTCTGAGTTTTTCCTCTTTTTCTCTCAGTTGATTCTGCATTTTAATTCTCTCCTCGTCTGCTCTGTGTTTCTCTTCCTCAAGTCCCTTCATCATGTTTTTCATTTCCGATTCATATTTGATTTGAAACTCTTCTCTCTGAGTCTCCATTTCTCTCTCTTTCTCTTTTAGTATTTCCTCAAATCTCTTTTTAATGGACATCTCTGCCTCCTCAAACATGCTGTTAGTGAAGTATCGACCCTCATTGGTGTTTTTCACTTCTTCTATCATGTTCAACAGTCGAGTTACTTGAGTTTTTTTGTCTTGTTTTTCTCTGTTATTGAAAGCCAGGAATCTGTTTCCACAATCTCTGATCAGTTTCTTCAGTTCTGCAGAGTTACTGCTCTTCACATAATCTTCTATAGTTTTACCCTCAAGTTCGTCTCCTCTACTGAACAGGACGATGCTGAACTGAGCAGATTTTGGACCAAAGATCTTCTTTATCAGATCAACAGTGTCTGTTTCTTCCTTTGTGAATCTTCCCACAGTCAACACAATGATGAACACATGAGGTCCAGGTGACGACAGTGAAACACATTTCATTATTTCTGCCACCAGTTTTTCATTTGTCAGTGTCGTGTCAAAGAGTCCTGGAGTATCAACAACAGCGACTGATCGACCATCAACTTCACCAACTCCCTTCTGACACACAGTCGTCACTGAATCTGAGCTTGACTGACTCACAAACTCATTTCTTCCCAGAATAGTGTTTCCTGTTGCACTCTTTCCACTTCCTGTTCTCCCAATCAGCACAATCCTCAAACACTCTGAATCATCTGATTGATCTGCAGCACATTAAAACACAAATTAATATTTGAGATCACTTTTCAAACTCAAAGTAGGATGTTGCACTTCTTTCTTAATGTTTATAATAAGAAAGGAAGAAAGAGTAACAAAAGTGGCACAATCATGACAGGACACCCAGCATATATGGTTGAAATTTTGTGAACCCTTTAGAATGTTCTATATTTCTGCATAAATCCAAAACATTGTCAGATGTTCACATAATCCTAAAAGTAGACAGCAGTATGACTGAACTTCTTTAATTAAAAGATGGATAATCAGGGAGAAAATAATAACTAATCAACCGTCTACTACAGTACACAGCAAAATCCCCAGTGTTAAATTAATACTTTAAAGTGTGAATTATATAAACTCTGAGCAGAGTGTTAAATGAACACTGAAGCAGTGTTAAAGTTAATGAGATAATTAAGTAAATAATTGAGTGATGATTGAGCATTATTGAAGACACCTGATGATAACAAGCAGAATCACTGAAGGACAAAACCGGAATTTTTAAGTCACCATTGTGGAGATCAGTGTTTGCTTTAGTTGCATGGCTCTTGACCCTTCATTCATTAACTTTTAGTTTGATTTTGTTTGGCTGCTGTATGTGAGTTATAACAGCCAGATGAACAAATAGAAACGGTGATCTGATGGTGATGGTTGTGTTTTAACATAATCAGTATTTCACAATCATTTGAACTGAATCCCTGAATTCATATTGAGCGTAATTAATGAGTTAAGTTTACTTTATTAATTATAGTTGCAGTGACCGTGTATATTTTTTTTAACGTTTACAACATATTCAAAATATTTTTGTAAAAGTTTCTCTTATACATTTTTTTTTACTTCTGTTCAATATTTTTTAAGACACAGCCATTAATAATCAGCCTGTGAATCTCAACAATGGTGACAATTATAAAGCATGTTGCATTGCATTCTGGGTGCCACCAATCAAAACTCATGGCTCCCATCATGCATCGCTGCACGAATAAATAATGAGCTTATGTTCAGAGGTGATCTGTTTGTCACCATTGCTGAGATTCATACGCTAATTCTTGATGTCTTTGTGTGCCTACAAAAAATATTTTGGGGATTTTTTCAATTAATTATCTCATTAACTTTAACACTGCTTCAGTGTTACTTTAACACTTTGTAGAGTGGGACCATATACACTCTGAGCAGTGTTAATTTAACACTGGGGATTTTGCTGTGTGGGGGTTGTTGTTGTAATTTACATGTAGCTGAGAGTATATATGTGTTTTTTCTTGATGACTCAACTTTTGAAAATAACAGTTATCCACACTGAAAATAAGCTGTCTGTCACACACACACACACACACACACACACACACACACACACAAAAACATTTAGTTGAAGGAACTTGACATTATTTGTGTCTATTGGACACTATTCTGTACGAAATCTTTTGTAGTTGAACCAATTCAACATTTTTTGTCTATTGGAATCAGATGTTCTTATTAAGAATAAACAGGTTCAGATGTTTTTTTTTTATTTTATTGAAAATGTTTGGTCACAATTTTGGTGATGAGCGTTTCCTTGAGTTGGTCAGTTTGGCTTGACAATTTATGAGAATTTGTGGTCTTTGTAACAGAGTTTAGCAAAACAAATAATTTGTTTGTTTTTTATCTAATCGTAAAGTTAGGATTATGGGATTATGATAAAAAATATATCTGAAGATGAGGTGCTGGGTGTGTTCTGTTGAACTGAAGAACCATGGAAATACTTCAGCAATATCTATATTTTCAGAGTTCAACGCTGAAACTCAGAAGTAGTGACCCACTAAGCAAAATGATGTCCAAAAGACGTCTTTTCAACGTCTTTGTCACAAAAGTCGGATGTTGAACAGACGTCCACTGAGGAGCCAGAATTAAAGTTTTTATGACGTCTTTTTTTATGTGTTCTGCATGTTCGATATAGACATTCTTCGTACCAGGTTAAAAACTAGTCAAATGTGGCCATTGTGGCCAATGATGTTTTTTTTTTTTACATCATTAATGATCTCATTTAGATATAATTACTTTGACTATTGCTGTAAGATGATCTTAGTGAGAATTAGCAGAGGTTTAGATGTTGATATTAGTTTCATTTGAGGTGTCAGGTGTTTGCTTTAGTTGAGCTCTTGGTCCCCTTTATTTTGACTTTAGCTTTTCTTAGGCTGCTGTAACTGTGTGTTTGTAAAACACAGTTGATGTTGAAAAGAAAGCCAAGAATATGTAAGACCAGGTGTTATCAGCTTCATGTTGATGTTGATGAAATCATCACAATAAAAAGCATCCAATATTGTCAGATACTTTGGCACTTCTTGTCACCTATCTTGTGGAACTACAATATTGGCACCAATAGCATTTATAATATCACTTATTAAGAGGTGAATAAAACTTATGTGCATACAATGTTTAGAGCAAATGTATCATGTTGTCACAAATGGATATCAAGATTTGGAATATGATTCACAACAATGGTGGCAATAAAAATAGTCATGCTGCATTTTCTTTTGATTGTCACCATTGTTGTGATTCATATTCCAAATCTTGATGTCTGTGTGTGACTACATGATGCCTCTGCTCAAAACAAACAGTATTTTTTTACTCGATTGGCACCAATATTGCAGTTCCATAAGGTGGGTGATTATGAATGCCAAATATAAAACCAACTTGGTGAAAAAACTCAACATTTGATGCTTGTTTTGTGATGATTTTGTCATCATCAACATTGAGCTGAAAACACCTGACGTTGCTTTTTCTTGGCTTTCTCTGTCACAAGAATTGCGTTATACAAACACACAGTTGCAGCAGCCAAAGAAAAGCTAAAGTAAAAATAAAGGGGACAAGAGCCCAACTAAAGCAAATACTGATCACCACAATGGTGACACTTCAAATGAAACAAATATCACCATCTAAACCTCTGCTAATTCTCACTAAGATCATCTGACAGCAATAATCAAATTATATCTAAATGAGATCATAAATTATGTTAAAAAATATGTCCACAATGACCACATTTGAACTAGTTTTTAACCTTGTACGACGGGTCCATGAACATCTATATAAGACGTGCAGAACACGTCAAAAAAGACGTCATAAAAACTTTGATTGTGGCTCCTCAGTGGAAGTCTGTTCAACGTCCGACTTTTGGGACAGACTTTAAAAAGACGTCTTTTGGACATCATTTTTGCTTAGTGGGTCACTTCAGAGTTTCAGTGTTGAACTCTGAAAATCCGAGCCGACCGCCATCTTTTTTCCTCGTAGCCGAGCCGTCCAAGTAAAACTGTTTTAGCTTAGCTAGTTCATCTATTGGTAATGTAAAGTTGTCTAATGTCTCTCCATCTCAAATTATCCATCAACATAACCTGTGATGAATATTTCATGTTTGTTCATTTTTTGGAAATACGAAAATGAAAACTATTTTTAGTTCTCTTGTAATGTTTTCCAGTCCACATTACTTTATACAGGAAGTTGAGTCAACAGACTGCATGTTGCATCAAATCTTGTTTTGAAGTGTAATAAACTTGACACTATAAGTTGACTCAACTTAGCTCAGTCAAAGCAACAAGAGGACTTGACTTAGTTAAGTTGAGTCAACTAATCTTTTTTTTTTACTGGGGGTTTTGCAGTGAAAATCATAATGGGTCCTATCAGAGATTTTGAGAGTAAAATACACTCACCCTGTGATGGTGTTTTCTGGTTTAATTCTTTAATTTTCTTCTCCATTCTCTTCAGTTCTTGTTTATATTTCTCCTCTGCTTCACGTCTGGCTCTGTTTTCTTGAGCTTTCACATACATCTGAAGTGAATATGGTTTAGTCTTCATCTTCTCTATATAATCCAGTAGTTCTGGGATCTGTCTTGAGTTTTCAGATTCATTAAACTCCATGCAGTTCTGATCACCACGTAGTCTGATTAATCTCAGAGTTTCTAACCTGGATTTGACTAAATCTAAGTCTCCAACGTAAAGGTTTGAGGTGAAGAGCAGCATGAAATGGTCTCTGGAGTCAAATATCTTCTGGATCTTCTCTATTTCTGCTTTGTCTTTATCAGTTAGTGGAGCATCAGGAACAATGAAGAGGAAAACATGAACTCCAGGATCACAGAGAGACACACAGCGGAGAGTCTGACGCATCACTTCCTCCTTTGTGAGCCGAACGTTGAACAGAGCTGGAAGCTTCACCAGACTGATCAGACGACCATGAAGATCCACATCTTTCCTAAAACACTTTGATCTTCTGTCTGTTTTCGGCAGAATCAGGTCTGATATGAAGGATTTGATTTTCTCGTCATTCCCGCACAGAACCAGATTCAGCTTTGACACTAAAACATTTTCAAAAATATATATTGGTATATATTGGGCATTTATATTAAGTAGAATACATTAAGACTCACATATAGAGACTTACTGTTAGGGCGATTGCCATCGGGACTTCTCTCTCTTTTGCTCCCTGCAATCAAAATAAAACACACACTTACGCTAGTTATGTTATTAATTGTAAGTTTCTTTGGAACAAAGCATCTGCTAAATTAATTATCAATAAACTAACACTTATATATTGTGACACAGACAAAAAAAATGTTAATAACAAAATATTTTGTTATTTTATATTTGATAAATATGATATTTGATATTTATCAGACACAACTTATCAGATAATAAATATAGATGTTTGATAAATTTGAGATATAATTACATATTCATCATAAACTGTCTGTATGTGTTAACATCGTATAGCATTTGATTTTATGTTGTCATTAAATGCAATTACGTTCATTAGTATACATGTATTTTGCAAGTTTATTTAAGAATCTAGAATGCTCCATTCGGCCATTTTATTAAATGCAGCACAGTCTTGAAAACTTACAAGGTTTCGGGATAGCCAGGAAACTGGATGTATGTCTTTTTTCTTTCTTTTTCTCTTTATGGCTCTCATCATATGTTTTAACCTCTTTGGAAGAATGTAAAGGTCTGCTGTTGTCTTTGTCCAGTGAAGAGCTGGTTTCAGTTGCCTCTTTAACATCATGTGTGCTTTCATCAGTTGTGTGGTTAATAGCCTCTTCCCCAAATACTTTCAGCATTTCTTTAACCCTGCTCATCTTTTCCTGAAGTTTTTATACTGCAGTTCTAGTATGAACACACTCTGAGATGTTTGTCAGAAGCAGCTGAAGACTGTTGACTCCGACTCTCTTTCTACAACATCTGGAGGAGATTCACTATCAAACGCTGCTCGTCCCAAAAGGTAGTTTCACTGTCTTCTGACGCATTCTTCAACAATCTCTAAAACACACACACACACACACACACACACACACACACACTTTGTAACAGCATTTCATTGTTTTTCACAGGCAGAGGTGAAAAGTCCAGGGGTCAGAAAGTAAAAGTCCTGCCTTATGTTCCCTGAGCCAGCTGATTTCACTAATTAGTTACATCTCCTGTCTGAATTAGCAAATCCAGGTGATTGGAACAAAATACTGAGGAGGACTTTTACTTTCTGAACCTGGACTTTACACCTCTGTTCAATATTACTGCACACATGATACTTGTACTGTACCTGATCATATCAAATTCAGAAGTCACAAACACACATGTATACATAATTATGATTTTTTTTTTTTTATATTGGATGTTCATCTGGTAAATTTAAAGTACCAAGGAAAAGAATATGTTTAAACATGTTTATACAAATAAAAAACACAATCTCAGTTTGAAATGTACACTCTCGGTACAAAAGCTGTCACTGGGGCTGTACCTTTTCAAAAGGTACACTTTTGTACCCAAAGGCTGCATATTGGTACCTTTGTGGTACATATTAGCACCTAAAATGTACATATTAACACCTGAAATGTACATATTAGCACCTGAAATATACATATTACCACCTAAAATATACATATTACCACATAAATGGACATATTAGCTCATGAAATGGACATATCAGCACCTAAAATGGACATATTAGCACCTAAAATGGACATATTACTACCTGAAATGTACATATTAGCTCATGAAATGTACACATTAGCACCTGAAATGTACTTATTAGCACCTAAAATGGACAAAAGTTTACTTTTTAAAAAAGGTACAGCCCCAGTGACAGCTTTTGTACCTTTTTTTCTGAGAGTGTAGTGGTGAACTCATGAGTGGCACTTATAAACCATAGTTGAATATGTAATGTGGCTTTGTTTCTTAATCAAACCATTTTTACATAAGGGAAATACATTAAAGTCACCATCACAGCCATGTGGGGCCCAATGTCTTTAACCCGGGCGTCAAAAACGTTTCGGTTCCAAAAACGGAGGTAAAACGTATGTAGTAGATATAGCAACTCTCTGAACATAATCTTCTCCAGAGCAGCTCATGACCCAAGGTTAGTTTACTTCAGAGTTGATGAGACTCCAGTGGGCATGACAGATTGAGTACAATAATATTGTATAATTATATCAATATATAAAGTGCTATTTAAACAAGGTAATGTTAATTGTATTACCATGGTAATTGCCAGCAGCATCTTGTTTGTTTTCAAGTAGCAGGGAAATCATGCGGAACCGACGCAACTCTGCCGTCATTATGTTAAGCCCGCCCACCAACTCTATACACAATGTGATTGGCTTGACCAGAGTTTGGTTTTTCCAGCTCGCAAGCCAACGGCGAGTTGCTGGACCACACTGGCTGCAAAATTATTTTGCTGCCACTGGGGTGCGTCTATATTTCTGGGCTAATATGATATGATATATCTTACTTTTCAAGCCATGTGGAAGCAAAATGACTAAACAAAAAATAAACTTATACAACTGTGTTATCTTTGCAAGCACCGACTGTATTTCACTTAAGCCTTTCTTTTATAAATATTATTAAAGTGCCCCTATTATGGGTGTTTGAAAATTACCTTTCATGCAGTGTGTAATGTTGCTGTATATGTGAATGTAAATGCTCTACAAAGTTGTAAAGCTAAAAGAGAACTAAAGTTAGTTTATCTAAAAAAAAGGGGGAAAAAAGACTCTGAAGAACGGCTCAAATGAGTTTAAAGCCCTTTGAACAGTTTGCGGTTTGCACTGAAACTGTCATTTGGACCTTGAACCGTTTGGTTCCCAATAAAGTCCATTATATGTAGAACAATCCTGGAATGTTTTCATCAAAAACCTTAATTTCTTTTCGTCTGAAGAAAGAAAGACATGGACATCTTGGATGACATGGGGGTGAGTAAATTATCAGCAAAATATTTTTAAAAAGTGAACTACTCCTTTAATCTGCCATGGCTGCTAGGAACAACAAAAAGGGAGTACGAATAGAGCTTTTCTTTTTATAGACCATTTCACAAGATGTAAACAACACTGGTCCAGAAACAATTCCTGTTTCAGTTTGTAACTGTTTTCTTTATTTCACATGTAAAGAAAACATCTTAAAGATGTTTGTTTAACTTTTTGATTCAGTTTTAAATATTCTGTTGGTTGTATTTTATCCCAGCTTTTATGTAGTGTTAAAAAACTGAAACAGGAAGTGCTTCTGGACCAGTGTTGTTTACATCTTGTGAAATGGTCTATTAGATTAAAGCACTAATGTAAGATACAACAGACGTGGACTCCTAAATCGGACAGACATCAAAGTTCGATTAACAATTAAAACTGGGTTGAATGTCTTATCCCAAAGTTTGTTTGACATAAAGCTCAAACCCAGCTTGCACTGGACGTCGGTTTAACATTGTACATTGGAAAGATGTCAAATTTTGGTTGAAATTTCATCATATTGATATATATTAACCCAGTATTTCTTTGATATGAAACTGCAATGGCAGACAGAGATCAAATTTTGGTTGAAAAGAAAAATCATGCCGACTTATTCGCCAGTCCCTCAATATTTTCCTTTGGATTTTTATGAGGTTTTTCAGTTTATGAGTAATAAACAGAGCCTGTGAAAAATCATTACTTGAAAACAACAAGCAAATCAGCACATTAGAATGATGGAGTAATCCATTGAAATCATGGGAATAATAGAATAATAATAATAAAAAAAATAATGTTGATATTCCCGTAGAAAACTGTTATTTTAAATAGTGAAAATATTTCACGATATTACTCTTTTTGCTGTGATTTGGATCAAATAAATACAGCCTTGGTGAGCAGAAGAGACCAGTAGCGTATGCATAAAAACAGATCCACCCATGTAATGGAGGAAGCCTTTGTTACTTACTTCCTGTGAATAGTTTAAAAGCTAACCATACTAGTTATGAACTTTGCATAACTGTCCAAAATGTTTTTATCATTATTTTATGCAAACAACTCACAAATCAGCTTTCAAAATATGGACGCATTTTGCAATAATGTGCTAAATTCAATGTGGAATTGAAAATATATGTTATTATGTAAGATGATTGTTTTTTTTTTTGTTGAAAAAAAAAGGCAAATAAAAACCTAACCTCCAACTAAGTGAGTAACTTATTATTTTTCTTTTTAAACTCATGTTTTCCTTTCTCTCAGTACCGAAAACATGCGTTTAAAGTCAGAAGAACAAAGCGGCAGTAAATACACTAGTTAATGCCAACATACACAAACAGTTAAAAATAGAGATATCAACATACCTTCACTCTGCTCCATTTAATCAGAAACTTCTATGACATTTGATAAAACCTGTGCGTAAAACTCACATCCTTGTGGAGGCTTTAAAACACATTCGCATAATTTCCATTCTGCTGTCTTTCTACTCCATGTTTAACGTAACAGTTTTGTGTTAAAATACACATCTCTTGGTTAAATGTTTAAATGTATTTTATCAAGCAAAACTTGACAAAAAAAGTCACAAAAAAGCTGATTTATTAAACAACGGCTCAAAGTACTTGCGTGCTAAAGTACTTTCATTAAGATTTTCAGCAATGCAGAAAACCAAAACATTTCCGTTACAGGCAGACAGGATGTGGTAGGCCTACACTTCTTTTGCGTCTCAAAGAAGACTATAATTAATAGCAGTTACCTAGCTGAGGCATTACATGTCATTATTTACTTTTTCATATGTTGCACCAGGATTTTCACATTTTAGTTTCACAGTTTTCTGCACCTTTTTTTCAACATGCAGTGAAGTAGTCTGATTCATAAACAAATAAAAATTCACCAGAATACAATAGCTATGAGCTTCAACACCAAGAAAAGCATGTCAGTTCAAACGGCACGTGAACCGATCATATCTCTTTACTAGCCTAGTTAACTTAATAATTTAACACAAATGATCAATGGCTATATTGAAAAATACAGTATGCTAATCTCTAGGTATGGTGAAGGGTGTGTGATGATATTTTATATTATAAAGGCCAAGGAAACTTTATCAGGATGTTTTGTATCCTGGTTTCATGAAATAACTGGCCTTTAAAAATAAAAATCTGCCTGCCTCTATGGGAATTTAACATTGTACCGACTTATGCACCCTGTATTTTAAGGAAGAACATTTATTTATTTACAATACATTATACATACACAAAGAAAATTGGTGTCCTTCACAGCAAAATCCCCAGTGTTATATCAACACTGAGAAGTGTGAATTATATAAACTCTGAGCAGAGTTTTAAATGAACACTGAAGAGTGTTAAAGTTAATGAGATAATTAAGTGATTAATTTAGTGATGATTGAGCATTATTGAAGACACCTGATGATCACAAGCAGAATCTCTGATGGAGAAAACTGGAATTGGTATGTTACCATTATGTAGATCAGTGTTTGCTTTAGTTGGGCTCTTGACCCTTAAATCATTCACCTCAGATCTTTGCTGTAGGTAAGTTATGATGGGTTATGATGGGTTATGATGGGCTATGATGGGTTATGATGGGCTATGATGGGTTATGATGGGCTATGATGGGTTATGATGGGCTATGATGGGTTATGATGGGTTATGATGGGCTATGATGGGTTATGATGGGCTATGATGGGTTATGATGGGTTATGATGGGCTATTATGGGCTATGATGGGTTATGATGGGCTATGATGGGTTATGATGGGCTATGATGGGTTATGATGGGCTATGATGGGTTATGATGGGTTATGTGGGGCTATGATGGGCTATGATGGGTTATGATGGGTTATGATGGGCTATGATGGGCTATGATGGGTTATGATGGGCTATGATGGGTTATGATGGGATGAGTCGGGATGGGTCAAGGCGCAGGTCCACCATAGAGGGTCCTTCGGGATAAACAGAGAAACTGATATTGGCGTAGACGCCATCCTTCTTTTGATGTACCAAGTACATCAGGATTTACGGGACGTGTTCCCGGTTCCGGCTGATCTAAACTATGCAGCCTAATTTGAATTTAGGAAGTCTATAGTGTGTTATGTGTATGCAAGACCAAAGAGATGTGTTTTTAGTCTAGATTTGAACTGTCTGCTTCCCGGACAATGTTAGGAAGATTGTTCCAGAGTTTTGGTGCTAAATAGGAAAAGGATCTACCACCAGCAGTCGATTTTGACATTCTAGGTATTATCAACTGGCCGGAGTTTTGAGATCCCAATAGACGTGAAGGACTATAATGCGTTAAGAGCTTGCTCAAGTACTGCGGAGCAAACCATTTAGTGCTTTAAAAGTAATCAGCAATATTTTCAAAATTTATACCATGTTTAATAGGCAGCCAATGCAGGGTTGACAGAACTGGGCTAATATGGTCATACTTTCTGGTTCTGGTAAGAACTCAAGCGGCTGCGTTTTGGACTGGTTGAAGTTTGTTTGCATAAATGGCATACTGAAACAGATACAGTTCATGAACCATTTGTACTAAAAGCACAAGTATGATCTCATTTGAAAGCTTCATGAAAATAAAATTGAAGTTGGCATTGTATCAATCTAGAAATGCACTGCAGCTAAAGCCACATGTCTGACTAGGGCTGGGCGATATATCGCACGATATTGTTAAGCGCATCTAATCAGTAAAGCCACTTCCTTGATTAGCAGTAAATCACCTTCACCTGCTTTCAGATTTAGTGGCATTTACTACAAAGAGCAGTAGATCACTGACAAGCTGAGCCATATCGCATTAATTATTGTTGGCAATACGTCCTCGATATTAACTCGATATGGCTCAGCTTGTCAGTGATCTACGGCTCTTTGTAGTAAATGCCGCTCCATCTGAAAGCAGGTGAAGGTGATTTACTGCTAATCAAGGAACCGGCTTTACTGATTAGATGCGCATAACAATATCATGCGATATATCGCCCAGCCCTACCCTATCTGAGATGGAAGAGATTGGGCCAGTTTACGGTGCCACTGGACCTCTAGCCCAGGGACGTTCTCTGCTAGGGTGGTGCTACACCAGTAATGCTGCCGTTACCGTTAACAACACTCTCAGCGACTTCTTATACTATCAGTAGCAAAATTAGCTTACTCCTTTACTCACCTCATCCAAGGTTTTCATTCAAAACATGAAGTTTTCATGTGATTTCAGGACAAAGCAGCAACACAGACAAATCTCACTGAATTATCTACGTAGGGCAAAGTCAGTGGTGTATATAACTGTACTGTACCTGAAATGTAAATCCTTGTCACTTGTTGTCGCTTCAGAAGTATAGTTAGGTTGTTAACCCGTTTTTCATAAATTCAATAAATTCCCGTTTACAAAAATTGTAATGTCTGTGGATCCCCTGCTGAGGATGATGGCCTTAAAGGCCTAAACTGCTTGAACCCCGATAAATGCTGCTTGCAGCTTTAATTATTATTATTATTATCTAATTAACTTCTTTAAATGGCATTTTGGTCACTTTTAGACATAAAATCTAAAGAAAATTACACACACAGCAAGATAATCCAAATATAATTACAGTGTGTTGCCTATATATCCAGCTTAGGCTTGGATTCTTCCTTCATTTTTAATTTGATGATACTGTTGAATGATAGCTCGGTAAATTTGATACCAAACATATATTCAATATCACACAATCAAAGTCATGAGTTTTTACTAGTTTCGAACAGTACAAATGTTAGAATGTTAGGATGCCTGAAAGGGGAAGTCAGATAAGAGTTAGTCATAAAGTTAGATTATATAAAGGTCATATTTTTAGAGTCAGAAACATGATAGTTCGAAAATACAGTTTATTATCTTATCTATTAAAAACCCATCACAATAGCTTGGTAGATTTGATACCAATCATATATTCAATATCACACAATCAAAGTCTTGAGTTTTCACTGGTTTCGAACAGTACAAATGTTAAGATGCCTGAAAGGGGAAGTCAGGTAAGAGTTAGTCATAATATTAGACCCAAACGGGAAATCAGGTAAGAGTTGGTTATAAGGTTAGATTATCTAAAGGTCTGAAAGTGTCAGAGTCTGAAATATGATCACAGTTCACAGTTCATGACATAGTTCACTATCTTATCTATTAAAAATCCATCCCAATGGCTTAATTTGATATCAGTCATATATTCAATATCACTACTCTCCATAATTAATGTAGCCTATGGTGGTATTATCAGCACATAAGTAGCAGTTTAAAATAATATAACGTAATGTACATCTCTTTGATGATTGGTTGATACGTGCTGATGAGGTATGAAGTCTGCGTTAACAGGCTGTGCAGTTAGGTCTGCAAACACACATTGGCTGGCTGGGAACTAGCTGAGCATACAAACCTTCTACTTTCGGATTAGAAACTATGTGTACTGTGAGTTTGTAATATCCACAAATTCAGATCTACTAGGGTCTATAGTTTTCAGGAACAGAAATTGAAAAAAGCATTAAAGGGGGGGTTGACTGCTTTTTTTCTTTGCATGATTGTATTTATGGGGAGCAATATAACATGTATTTGTGGTTTTTCTTTTTTTTTAAAGTCTTATTTTTCATAAACTTCACGTTTATTGTCAGCCGCGCTCTCCTCTGTCCTCGAACGAGCGGTTGACTTCCTGATTCTATGAAACCACTCCCTCAGAAACAAGCAGTGGGCTCAGATTGGTTAGTTTGGGCCGGTGTGTTGTGATTGGCTAAACTGTCGCTCACGTTGTCCGGAAGGTTACCTTTACGGGCGAAACGTGCATGTAATGAGCTCCGGTCCAGATGTAAATATGTGTCGAACAGCAGTATCAGTTTGATGCAGAATCAGACCGAGAAAGCGGCGATGAAGAGAGTCAAGCAGAAACTCACCACACACGGCTCTTAATAAACGTTTCCGAATGATAATTTGCTACATTTTTTTACTTTATACACGTTTGTTTTACACAATAGCAACTGACTGGCAACAATAGCAACTGACTGGCTACTAATGTCATACTCAAACAGCGTTGGCATGTTTACGTTCTTGATCAAATCAAAAAAAACGTCATAAAGCATATATACATGAAAAATAAGTTTAAAACATTAGTACTTATACAAAATTCAGGTCCATAATGTTTGTACGCGTTTGTCGTAGACACAAAATAGCATAGGCTAACTAGTAGTGGCTATAAGCTAGCGCTGGCATTTGATCAAACTAAAACACGAGGCTACGCCTGGAATTATACATGCAAATACATTTAAAATGGTTAAGTCTTAGCCTACTTATAGGTTGTGGTCCAACAACTGCTGCCTCTTGTTTTAAAGTTGGAACTGCTTCATGTTTTAGTAACAGTTTCTTGTTGAATCCGGTGTTGAACTCGTGGAGATTCTGGAAGCTGTCTTCCGTAAAATGCGCTGCACAGAGAGCTAGATTACAATCGTCATTTTCAGGAACATAATCAAACATAAATTGTATCCATTGTTGACGAAGTACAGCGTCCGTGGGAAGCCCGAACACAGAAGACCTGACAGCTGCGTGAACAACACACTCGCCGAGTCAACGTGCCACAGAAATATGGTCATGCTCTTTCCTGCATATTCCGGAGGGAGGGTTGATGTAAATGTGTGGGTTAGTGACGTACTATAACCCAGCTGTAGTCCCAATCGAGTCGTTTTTGTAGGCAATATACTTCCTGATTTTTAAAAGTCGATATCTCTGCTTACACTGAACTTTCAGCGCTGCAACTTTGCAGATACTGTTCATGCACCAACAGCAACATTACACACTATTTAAAATGAAAAAAGTGAAATCGCAGTCAACCCCCCCTTTAAAATGTAAAATAATATTGATAAGTTAATTTTTATTCAAACCTCCGTCCTTGCAAGACACTGCATAACACTGCTAAGCCTGATGATACAGCTGCTTTGTAGCTCTAATATACTTCCCTAGCTTCCCAAACTTCAGTGGGGTAAGGCCCCCATAGCAAAAGCTCCACGAACCCCCTTTGTTGAAAAAATATATAGATTAATAGTATATATTAAATAAACCTGATTGTCTCTTTGATCAAAATGTATCAACATTTATTAACCAGTTTGAATTTCATATGAACTTCATGTGAAACTAAAAACATCATTCAAACTGAGGAACGATGTAAACTTTGTAAGTTTTAGTAAAAAACAGTCCCACAGTCTGACCAGCAGTCTTCAAAACAGTACCTAATGACATGGATGGGTGTTGCTTTTCAGCTGTTATGATTTTATGTCTGGCTGAATCAACGTCAATTTAAGACAGAGATCAGATTCCACACTCAACGTGCTACCTATACTTTGTCTTTAAGGCCGCAAGCACCGAAAATCCCACTTCACACATATAGTCTACAGTATATGTGTGAAGTGGCAAATGGCATCAAAAACATAATTGCCTTGTTGGCGAGTTCAGGGTATTTGTTTGACAACCTGAGTCAAAAAAAATCTTAAAAAATCCGTTTCAAGTAGCTGTCACAGGATAGATTGGCTAAGCTGTCCTGTTCCTTGCAGGCAAGTCCCGCAATTACATCCTGAGTTACCCCTTTTCCACCGAAAAAAGAACTGGTTCGGAACTGGTGCTGATTCAAAGTTGGTTCGGAGTTGGTTCAACTTGCGAACCCGCTCAGAACCTGTTTGTTTTTCCACTGACTAGAGAGCCCAGGGAACGACGTCGTTACGTCACTGTGCACGTCGCTAGAAGCGCTTGCAAGTACATTGCTTTGGGATTATCTCTAACTCGTGTACCAAGAAAAATTTAAAAACAATTGAAATATGCAAGTCTTTTAATCTTTTCGTTTGATATGTAATCTTTTCTGATAAGTTATGTACCCCTGTCTTGTGTATTTTTTCTATCCAGAAGACAGTTTTCTTCTTTGCTTATGTTTCAAATAAAAAGGAAATAAGTAAAAATGCTTGCGTGTTTCTGCAGGTTCTCCTGGCTTTGCGATGGTCAGAAAAGATGTTTAGAACGCATCTAAACCCGCCCCAGTCCCCGACATAAGCATGACGTCCTAAAAGAACGGTTCTAGTCCCGCAAAGAGTTGGTGCCGCTTTGGAACCAGTTTTCCTGGCCGTGAACCGGTTCTTTGGCTGTCGAAACACAAAGAACTGGTTCGCGCGCAGGCACCGGCTCCGACCCGGCTCTCAAAATGCTTTGGTGGAAAAGGGGCTAGTGTGGTTGGCAAAGGGATACTGTATCCAGCTCTGCTGTTTGCTGATGTCAGGGAAGTAGTTGTGCATCTGAAACTTTAAAGCCCGAAGGTGCTCTGTCATAGTGATGGGAAGTGGCCGGTCCTCCCTCGATAAAAACTTTAGCAGCTGGTGAAAGCATGTAACAGTGCTTTTAGCCCTTTGTTCCATCTTTGGATCTTCTTTTATTCTTCCCTGATTATACTCTTCATCTCTCATTATCTCATTATCACTCCATCAATCTCATGTTCCTCTTGGTTCCACTAAATTATATAGAGTTTGATGCAGAACCCTGAGATTCTGACACATTGAGAAAAACACAAGGTCCAGCACTGGATAAATACACACTTTTCTCGATCTTCTTCAACATCTGGTTTCATCTGTGTGTGAAAGAATCCAGGAGTATCAACTACAGACGATCTCCTTATTCTGTTTTCACATAACTTCTCAATCTTGCTTCTAGTTCTCATTCTTCTCTGATTTCCTTTTCGGTCTCTCCGTCAGTCTATCCAGTGACAATATCGATGGCCTCTCAAACACTGCTGAGACTCTTCCGTCTCTCTCAATCTCACCTTGTTTTTGTTTTTCCTCGTGATGTTTCCGACTCATTGGTTTAAGTGCGTCTCATCATCATCTTGGTGGACATTTAAAGTCTGCTCTGACGTTCTCCTCCATTTCCTTTATAACTCTATCAATCTCCTCTTGTAGTTCTCTCCGCATTCTCATACATATCATTTCCATATGTCTCATTCCCATCTCTCTCATTTCCATCGTTCTCATTTCCATCTCTCTCATTTTCATCTCTCTCATTTTCATCTCTCTCATTTCCATTTCTCTCATTTCCATCGTTCTCATTTTCATCTCACTCATTTCCATCTCTCTCATTTCCATCTTTCTGATTTCCATCTCTCTCATTTCAATTTCTCTCATTTCCATCGTTCTCATTTTCATCTCACTCATTTCCGTCTCTCTCATTTCCATCTTTCTGATTTCCATCTCTCTCATTTCCATCTCTCTCATTTCCATCTCTCTCATTTCCATTAACCATTCATACATGCCAATATCTCTCATTGATGAATATCTCTCAAGCCTCTCCTGTTGTTTCTCCTGTCGTTCCAGATGTTTTTGTATCCTGTCTTCCATGCTCAGTCTTAATGTTGTAAGTCTTTCTTGTAGAAATCTTGGTGGACCTTCAAACTCTGCTCTGATCTTCTCCTCTGTCTCCTTTCTCACTCTCTCAATCTCCTCTTGTTTTTGTTTCTCCTCTCGTTGTGTTTTCTCCTCTTCCTCGCTTAGTGTCATTGATATAAATCTTTCTAGTAAAAATATTGGTGGACCTTCAAACTCTGCTCTGACTCTCTCCTCGGTCTCCTTTCTCACTCTCTCAATCTCCTCTCGGTGTGTTTTCTCCGCTTCCTCTCTCAGTCTCATTAATTTAAATCTTTCTAGTAAAAATCTTGGTGGACCTTCAAACTCTTCTCTGATTCTCCTCTCTGTCTCCATTATCACTCTCTCAATCTCCTCTTGTTTTTTTTTCTCCACTCGTTTTCTTACATTTTTCTTTTCACTGGAATCAAACCACAGAGATGTTCTGGTCTGTCTCCTTTCTCTCTCAATCACCTCCCATTTTTCCTCTTGTCGTTTCCTGTCTTCCTCATTCAGTCTTATTATTTTAAGTCTTTCTTGTAGAAATCTTGGTGTACCTTCAAACTCTGCTCTGATTCTATCTTCTGTCTCTTTTCTCACTCTCTCAATCTCCTCTTGCCTTAGTTTCTTCTCCTGTTGTTTTCTCTGCTCTTCCTCTCTCCATTTTCTTTCCTCTTCCTCTCTCTGTCTCTGCTCTTCTCCCTCTCTCTGTCTCTGCTCTTCTTCCTCTCTCTGTCTCTGCTCTTCTCCCTCTCTCTGTCTCTGCTCTTCTTCCTCTCTCTGTCTCTGCTCTTCTTCCTCTCTCTGTCTCTGCTCTTCTTCCTCTCTCTGTCTCTGCTCTTCTTCTCTCTGTCTGAGTCTCTGTGCATCCTCATACATCTGATTACTGTAGTGTCCTCCTCCATTCTGCTCTATCATTGTGTCAATCTTCTTCAGTAGATCCTTCACCTGCTTTCTGTTATTCAGATCTCTATTGTTGAAGATATGAAATCTGCCTCCACACTGATCGACTAGATCTCTTAATCTACTGTTCTCCTCAATGAGTTTCTCCATGGGCTTTCCTCTCAGCAGATCTCCATGAGTGAAGAGAATGATGGAGTATTTTAACACTTCATCTCCAAACAACATCTCAATCTGCTGAGGAATCTGCTGCTCATGTTCAGTGAATCTCATATTCACGGGAAACACAATGAGAAATGCGTGCGGTCCAGGTCTGGATATATAAACACTTTTCGCTATCTCTGTCATTAACTCTTCAGGCATCATCTCTGTGTCAAAGAATGTAGGAGTATCAACTACAGACACAGATCTGCCTGAAACAGTGGCGTGAGCAACTGAACATTCACGGGTTACTGATCTCATACTCCTCTCAGATCTGAACTCTCTCTTTCCCAGTATTGTGTTTCCAGATGCACTTTTCCCAACACCAGTTTTACCCAGAAGAACAATCTGCCTGGAAGTGTATGGTTCATCAAGTCCAAAAAACGACCTCAGGAACTTTTTATCTGTACAATAGAGAAAGCAGATGTAAGCAGAGATCTGTTCACTTAAGGCTGCACGATGTTGGACAAAAACTGACATTGTGATACTGTTTTTCTGTGATACATATTGTTATATGAAAACAATTTCACCAGATGACTTGAATAGCTCTATTTGGAAATAATGAATAATTCTAGGATGATTGGGATGATTTTGTAGGAGAGTGAATCGGCAAAATAATGTACAGTAGAACAAAGCTTTAAGCTGATTTGAATGTTTAAACGGTAACACTTTACAATAAGGTTCATTGGTTAACTACATTAGTTAACATTAACAAAGATTAACAAATGCTGAAGAAGTATTGTTCATTCTTAGTTAATGTTAATTTCAACATTTATTAATACTTCATTAAAATCTTGTTAACATTAGTTAATGCACTGTGAAATAACATGAACTAACAATGAACAGCTGTATTTGTATTAACTAACTTTAAATAAGATGAACAAAAACAGTAACAAATGTATTGCTCATGGTTAGTTCATGTTAGTTAATACATTAACTAATGTTTAATAAATGAACCTTATTGTAAAGTGTTACCGTTTAAACTGATAGGACTTAAAAACAAGTGAAAATGACAAACTTTTACTCTATTATGGTTAAACTGCGCAATTAAATTTGTGAATCATACGCATTCCGAACCTGATCTATGATCCCTATTAAGGCCAATTTATACTTCTGCGTCGGGTGCGCGCAATAGGTACGGCGTAGCATACACACAGACATATAAAGAGAAACGCCGTACTCCTCAAAAATGTTACTACACGTCACAACGACGCGGACCGCAAGATCTGTGATTGGTCGGCTTGGTAGCATCGTGTTTCCGCCTACGCATATCCGCCGTGTTCTTATGCACCGCTCGCCATTTTTAAATTCAGAAGTTCACTGAAATTTCAGTGAAGAAACATGGAAATGGACCAAGTGACTGAGCGATTGCAGGGCTGCCAACTCTAACACATTGAGCGTGAGACTCACGCAATTGAGCCAATTCTCACGCTCTCACGCCACACCCCAGATTTCTCACGCTAACGTGTCAAGCCGGTCGGTAAAATACCTGAAAGACGAGTTTATCTATAGATCCACCAGTTGAGCCACTCGTGATTGACTAGTTTTACCGCAAATTAGTTAAAATATCTTCTAATCTAGAACGAGCGTGCTTACGAGACAGATGTTGAGCTCCTAACGGCGCAGAAACACGTTCCTCTGTGCACTCTAAGCGTTCTGTTATCACTTCCCTCTAATCCACTACGGGTTTTCCAGTCTCACACACAGGAAAAAAACTGCTCTGTGTTCAATCGATTTTAAAAGATAATCTTATGTTTTATTTTTTTATATATCACAAACGTCTGAATTTATAATACTATATGTAATGGCTTGGAAAGTATTCTACATGATTAATACATTTTCCAGCTGCCTTTGTTTGCACAAACAAGCGCACCCAGGTAAAAAGAAAAATGTTACAAATTCTACGAAAAATTTTAGTTTGCTCGTAGTTAATAATAATAATAATTATTATTATTATTATTATATATGCCGCAAGCGCATGACGGCAGAGAGGTAAGCGAACAAAGGGCCTTGCGTGCAACACAGACATAACGTAGAAGTATAAATGCTCACGACGGCGTCGCCTACGTGCATAGCCTACGACGTACACTCGACGCAGAAGTATAAACAGGCCTTTACTTGACATCAGACATACTACGATGTGACTATCACGGATGCACACATCACAATATTGATGCTAAAGCGAAGTCCTCCAGAAGAGACTTCGTTAGGCTTGCTGTGGTAGTATGCGTGATCGCAAATTCAAAAAGTGATTTCAAAACTGCGTGTATTGATAGCGGCTCTTTATTAGTCACATCCCTACGTATGATATTAGTAAACCCTGCAACTGCTGACTATGAATGAAACTGACTATTGTGTCATTGAGATCTGTGTAAGAGTTCAAATAGCAAATTAGATCTCCACGAGTGAAGAGAATGATGGAGTATTTTAACCCTACCAGTATATTTTATCATCGTCGTCCGCATCCTCACATGCTTCACAGGGGATCTGAAGACAGAATTCACAGCGATGATATCGGAGACATTTAGGTTTCGTCTCACCGTTTGAGTCCGCTTCGGTTTTGCTCCTTTTTCTGTATAATAAGACAAAAACAAATTAGAGCATTTTTCAACACTCACTTTCCTCACAGTGGTTGGGCAGAGATACAGCTGTTACAGTCCTACATTTCAGCTTTTTCCAGACACATTACTTACAAATAACAATACATGTTTTATTCTAGTCACATCTGGAAATAGCTTAAAACTAGCTTTTGGGGGAAAGGGTGTGCAGAACATTTACCATGTCATGCAGGAGACAAAGAAAAGACAAACCAAACTGTAATGAGTAAAACATTATAATGCAGAGATCTCTCTCTGTAACTCTTTCTTGCTGTAACGCTGCGTTCTAAAGACAGTCAGTGAGAGTAGACTTTTACAATTTGTCTCAAAAGTTTATAATATTTTGTATAATAACGACTGACTAACCTATTGTGTCAGGGTATGTCGCATATATTTTTGTAAGCAGCTCTTGAACTTGTCCATTAGGTTCTCGCTTCTTGTTGTTGAACACATGATATCTCTGATTATATTTCTCGATGAGTCTCTTCAGTGGTTTAGTCTCATTAACGAATTCATCGATTGACTTGTTTTCTTCCTCTAGTTCATCTCTGCCAGTGAAGAGAATCCAGGTTTTCTTCAAGCGCTCTTCTCCTAACAGCTCCTCAATCTTCTCCACAGCTTCTCTCTCTTTTCCAGTGAATCTGTCAGCTTTGATGACCAGCAGAAACACACAGAGACCTGATTCACATCTCTGAAGAACATTTACATTTATCATCTGCTGAATCTCCTGTTCACTGAGCTTTGTGTTGAACAATCCTGGTGTGTCATAAACAGTGACCCGTCGTCCACAGACCCACCCATATTCGACGGCAACATCTTGTGTGACAGAAGAGAAACTTTCCTTTGATTCAAAAGCTTTTCTTCCCAGTATTGTGTTTCCTGATGCACTTTTCCCAGCTCCTATTTTTCCCAGTAACACCAAATTCAGACCTTCAATCCTTTCCGCCATTTTCAAGATGTGACCTAAAGCTAAAACGTGCTGCAAGACAAAAATTAACACACATTTATGAAAAATCTCACAGATTTCCTTCAGTACATGTAGTATGTGAGAATGCTTCTGTAAGGACCGGAGACTGTTTCAAATAGAGTGCATATGATTCCATTATTACTATTATTATTATGATCTAAAAAGTTCAATTGTAGTTCCAAACGATTTCTGATGATTTCAACAATATTATTTTGGGATTCAGTTCCATTCATAGTCAGCAGTTGCAGCCAGGGTTTACTATCACCCATTGGGTTGTGGCACATTCTATGGATCCTCTAAAGGGACATGTGGTGGATAAATTATGAGATGGGAGGACCAAATATAGTTCACTGTAGGGCTGTCACTAACAGTTATTTTCGTAATTTTATTTTGATTATCAATCGAGTAGTATAAAAATGGACCCAAGTAGGGGTGGGAATATGGCCAAGACCAGCATATAAACCAGGAGTGTTGCCAATTTAAAGAAGAAAATGACTCGAGATCCAATGACTCATGACTTGACTTGAACTGTAGGACTTTATAACAAGCCAAAAGTAATTAAATTATTTTCATCACTACGGAACCACCGACACAAGTGATCGGAGTCTGTGTGATGCAGCACAATCTTATAAAAACACAGTGCGGTGTGCCCGCCAAATAGAAGGAAATTCAACAAAAAAAATATATGTAAGCAAAGTTAAACACATCACATTTACTATATAACCCATATAAGTACTGCACCACATTTTTTATCTTAAACTGTTTTATCGTCAACATTTTTTGTATAATTATTATAGTAGCCTAATAATATAAATTATAAATACGTACTAAAGTTTGCACAGTGCTTAAGCTTAAAAATACCGGTTGAAGCCAATGTATTTTTTTATACAGTACTCCCTTAAAGGGATAGTTCACTTTGAAATTAATTTTGGATATGTTTTATCTTACCTCAAGGGCATCCAAGATGTAGGTGTCTTTGTTTCCACAGTATTTTCAATTTTGACATTTTTCGGTCAAACCATTCTTGTCTGTCAGTCATATAATGCAGGTCTATGGTCTATGGTCAAATTAAACATGATTTAATGACTCGTAAATGCAAGTACACATTGATGGCCTAAGACACGAAATAAGCGGTTTGTGTGAGAAAACGAACAGTATTTATATCGTTTTTACCTCTTGTAATCACAGTCACGTCCAAGTGATCAGAGAGCGCGGGCGCTTCTGTTTGCACAAGCGCCGGAAAATTCAACGTTGTCTGTTGATATATCGAAATTGTGATTCCATTGTGATTTCCTGTATATCTAAATATGTTTAGATCTTCGCAGTGAAAGGTAAAGCTTCCGAAATCTCTGTGTAAACAATGAGTGACGTACGTACACACAGCAAAATCCCCAGTGTTAAATTAACACTTGTGAATTATATAAACTCTGAGCAGAGTGTTAAATGAACACTGAATCAGTGTTAAAGTTAATGGGATAATTAAGTGAATAATTGAGTATTATTAAAGACACCTGATGTTAACAAGCAGAGTCACTGAAGGAGAAAAACAGAATTTTAAGTCACCATTATGGAGATCAGTATTTGCTTTAGTTGGGCTCTTGACCCTTAATTCATTAACTTTAGATGTTGTTTGGCTGCAGTGCATGAGTAATAACAGCCAGATGAACAAATAGAAACGGTGATCTGATGGTGATGGTTGTGTTTTAACATAATCATTAATTCACAATCATTTGACCTGTATCACTGAATTCATATAGAGCCTAATTTCTGAGTTAGGTTTTCTTTATTAATTATAGCTGCAGTGACATTGTACAGCATAATAATGTCTACAATGTATTCAAAAAAAATCTTAAAAGCTTTTCTTATAATTTTTTTACTTCTGTCCAATTTAAAGACACACACACACACACACACACACACATCAATAATCAGCCTATGAATCTCAACAATGGTAACAATTATAAAGCATTTTGCATTGCATTCTCATTGCCAATCAAAACTCATTAATGGCTCCCATCATGCATTGCTGCATGAATAAATAATGATCTTATGTTCAGAGGTGATCTGTTTGTCACCATTGCTGAGATTAGTATGTAGTGTGTATGCCTATATAAAATATTTTTGGGATTTATTTTAATCATTTTTCATGTTAAAACACAACCAACACCATCAGATCACATTTTCTATTTGTTCATCTGACCGTTATAGCTGTTATATACAGCAGCCAAGCTAAATCTAAAGTTAATGGTTTAAGGGTCAAGAGCCCAACTAAAGCAAACACTGATCACCATAATGGTGACTTGGTGTTTTGTCCTTCAGTGATTCTGCTTGTTAACATCAGGTGTCTTCAATAATGCTCAATCATCACTCAATTATTCACTTAATTATCTCATTAACTTTAACACTCTTCAGTGTTCATTTAACACTCTGCTCAGAGTTTATATAATTCTCACTTCTCAGTGTTAATTTAACACTGGGGATTTTGCTGTGAACACTGTGACTCGTGTTGCCTCAAGCACATCATTCAGCGTTCGGGATGCGCATATTATTATGATATGATTATGAAAGACTCCAATAGAGTGCTTTCATAATCATATCATAATACTTTTGCGCAATAAAAGATTATTAATAGTATTTTTTGTTCTGTTCTGTCCTATCTATCATATGTTGCTGCCTCATTAAACAGCTATGCTATACATTTGTGCTATATATATTTTCTTAATGTTATAGTAGACTATAAAATATTGATCTTTTTGATTTTTGTTATCTTGTTTTTCATGAATGTATTTTACAACGATAGAAAGAGCAATATGTAACGTTTTACCAGATTTAGTGCTACACTTATTGTCTCTTATTTGTTCCCCACTAAATATTTTTTTTTCACTAAATGTTCAGATTTTATAAAATTACAGAATTTTACTGAGTTAATTTTCCTGATTATTTAATTTGAATAAGAATTCAAACCAGAAATGGATGTAGCTTGAAACAGATTTCATGTGCTTTTTTTGGAATGACAGTCTCAGCATACCTATGTCAGGATAAATGACAGGTAAATCGGCCTTAATATGTAGCTAAAAAAAAAATCACCCAATCTTGCAACACGAGACACCAGTGTCGCATCACGGCCAGCGTCGCAAAGCAGCGCGCGAGGAGGTGTCGTATGATCATTTAAACGGATTTCATGACGAGGTCGTTGAGGATGGGAAAAATCTTACATTTCTGTGCAAACTTTGCCCATCGATAAAATAATTCTTGTCTGTGGTTGTATATGGGGCTGTGGCAATAATTAAAAAAGAAGCGTGCAACATATGGAATAAAAGAACTATGAATGAACTAGTTCATTTTTAATTTGTGAACTGAACTTTGAACTAGTTCATGTAGAAAGTGAACTTTGTCAGTACATAAACAGTGCAATCCATGCTGTTGTTTACATCCGAGTATCTCCAATATGGCCGCGCATCCGGGTAACTGACCAAATCGTGACATAGGTGCAAACTCTCAGAAATAAGAGCTTGGCAAGAGTAATATCAACTCAAATAGGTTACTACATCATAAACATGTTCTGCGATATGAGATCGTATTATTATTGTATGCATATTTAAACGATTTAAGCCTTGAACAATAAGATAGGCTACTTGAATTAATGGAATAAGCACAGCAAGGTCACAAATAAAACGCGTTAATTGCCGTCTCTGTGCTTCTCGGTCTCAGAAACCAACCCAGCTCTAATAGCCAATAACAAACTAGAGATTCATTTACAGTAATTAATTAATAACGTTTAAACTTTGTTTGATCTGCATTCTAACTGTTAGAAGCTCCGCTTCCCATAGGAGCCTGAGACTCGAGTTGGGATAGCACATGCGCATTGGCTCATCTGGCCTGAAAAGTAAGGGTTTGGTGGGACTCTGAATGAAGGTGGAATAGATTTGAGCAGCCGCGTGGAAATCAGCACAGTAGCTAAAACACGTAATGGAGTTTAATTTATTAGGGCTTTCTCAAGTGAATTAGAATTAGAGACTGTAGAAGTGAGTGTCCAATATCATTGGTCTTAAAATATATAAAATATACAATGGTTCCGACGCCCATGTCCCACTTTATGAAGTTATCAAAACATAGAATTGATTTGTGATTCACACTGCTGTTATGAAATTGGTGGCTAATTATTTTGTTCTAACATAATTCAAGACATATTTTTTTTTTTTTGCCTCGTCAAAGTCTTTTTATTTATAATTGGGGTAATGTGTACAAAAAAAAAAATAATAAATAAATATACATTTTCACATACATGTACATACAAAAAATATAGATTT